CTGGTATACATTCATCTTTAGAGAAGGTGATCTGCGAAAGAAAGAGACATGAAAGGATATTTATTAATTTGACTTTTTTTTTTTTTTACATATAGATATCGAGTTTGCTATATGATTCATTCTGATTTATATAAATACTTAATGTATTTTAATCTTCTGTTTTGCTATGACCTTCTTGCTTATGTGATACAATATAAATACATCTAATTATATTTATCAAAAGTTGCTAACAGTTAGATTTTAATTTATGTCCTTTAGTAAAATTGATTAACTTTTTTTACTTACCGTCAGAGATCCATTGGGTGATTGTGTGAAAAAGATGGAAGAGCCTGGTGGGAAATTCTCGTCCTTGAAGACTCGGAGGAATTTCTCAATTGCTTTTGCTTCTGCATCGGTGTAAATTCCGACTGATTTCCAGAATGCAACACAATTCTCTGTGACTTTCTCCGAGTATTGTTGACCCGTTAATGGCAAGATCATAGTTACCCTTATGAATTTTTTGAATGGACCTATAAGTCAGGAGCAACAATATTGTTTATCACAATCTAAATCATTATAACTACAATCATATATGAATACAATACAATGAGCCATTCTTATCACACACTTATGGCATAGCATTTGTCTTATATGTACACTAGCTTTGTTTATGAGTACGCTAAATTTAATTTATTCGAGATTATTGATTGATTAATTACATGATAGAGATTAACTTTTATAGTAATATTATATATATATTGAAAATATTATTTATATATTTAGAACACAATTTTAAACAAGTAATTAGTCTTTTATTATATTTATCATTTCTTAACATATCTCAGAAATCACTTTTTTTTTTCATAAAAAAAAAACAAAAATTTTATAGATTCTTTTACTAATTAAAGAAAAAAAAAAAACAATAGTAAATAACATTTGAGAACAGTACATCATCGTTTCATATAAATATTACAACATAATACTTCATTAAGAAAATTTTAGCATTATTCTTTGCTTAATACACAAAGAACAGAATAAATGTGTGCTACCTTTTATTATTTTGCTAAAACTCTAGACACTAAAGACAATTAATATTGGGAATTTTATAACTATATGAGTCCCGAAAAGGAGTGCGAAAATATAAATGTTATAATTCTTTAAGGCAACTCGAGGTCATGGAATTTAGTCAATTAGATTTCTCAGTAAGTTTATGTAGATGAGCACAATGTTTTGGTTGAATTCTACTTACATTTAAAGTTAAATTACAAATATTTGCCTATTAATAATAAAGGATAGGAATTATGTTATTTTGAACTGTAACAAGATAAAATAAGAATAGCATTGACTGGTGTTATAGTACAACATAAAAACAATATAAAATCTTATTAAAAAAATATTTTATTAAGTGTCTTTCAAAAACGTTTTAGGGAGTTATTTTTCTGAAAAATTATGACTAAAAGCAGAGCATAAAGTCTTGAAATTGCTTGGGAGTTTTGAAAATTTAACAAGATTTCAAAACTATCTTATATTAATTGAATCTATCTTTAAGTTTGGTGATTGCTCTAATGCTTTGAGACAATACTTAAATCTTGAACTAGTATTAGTATTCTAAACTTATTCTAAATTTTTAATGCTTCTCTAAAGTTCTAGATTATTTTTAAGTTTAACAACAACTTCTGGATTTAATATTACTATAGGGTATTAGAATTGTCATGAATTTCAAGATTCACATATAATAATATTCAAGTTTCATCAAGATTTCAAAATATTTCTTGGGTTTTAGGTAGTTTTTCAATCTCGAAAATATGTAGAAACTTTTGTGGGTGTAAACGCAACATCATGGTTGGAGACTTCTCCAACCAACTCTAGAATTCCAAAACTTTCCTTCTCCCTAAATTTATTATCAGGTCTGGGGGCATGCTTTTGGGTCATGAGATTTATATTCGTAGCACGCAACAACTTCATAATCTTACTAGTAGTTTTTTAAGTTCCAAAGTTTCTAGGTTTTCAACAATCTTTTTATTTAATAAAAAAGTTAACCGAGTTTTCTCAGTTCACACCCAACAAATACTTCTTTGATAACTTACACCAATGCAATCAAACGCTAGTAGACTACCACTAATTCTCCATGAATTGCTCGTTTTCAGTTTGATTTGATATATAAAGGAAAAGGAAAAGGAAAAGGAAAAGGGAAAGTGAAAGGAAAAACAAAACAGAGTAGTTCATGTTCAGCCACTTTATTTAACTCCAATTCAAAGCATAAAGCAACTCCGAGCTGGACGTCGGTGTTTCGTCGGCGGCATTCTCTCCGACTCACATATCAGTAACTTATACCCGCTATTTAAAGAATAATAACGGCAATATCGAAATCCAAAACGAAGAATAAACGGCCTATTTCGAGTACGTTATAATCTAAATCTGCTAATTAAATCTGTACCTGTAACGACATCCCGGAAGAACTCGATGGACTCCGTCAATTCATCGGCGCTTTTTCCCTTCCACTTAACAGCGAGCGACGGCACAGCGATATCCTCCAAATACACTCCGATTGCCGTGAACTTCACGAATTTCCCTTGAATATCCAAACCTCTCACCCCTGCAGTACCGCAATCAACACAAATCGATCAAACAGAACGGGCAAAGGAATTAGCAGATGATGCGCACTGAGTGAGTGAGTCACTAACCTGCGCCGCCGAGGAATAGAGTTTTGGCAGATCCTGGAGGCTTAACGAATCGCGGGAATGTAAAGGCCTCTACCTGCAATTCGGCGACGGATGGCAACGAAGACGACGACATTGTTTGTTATGGAGATGGTGGGTGAAACGGTGCGTTTTTTATAGCAAAGAAGCTGGAGATGTTAGGTAGGGCTTGACCTGTGAGTCGGGTTGTTGGAGTTTTAATGTTATTGACGGAGAGATGAGAAAGGTGGGTGGAGGATGGAAACGTGAAGAGAAGAATAACCAGTCTCTTCATGGCTAGCACTGTAAATATATAAGCGGTGGGGAATTCGAAACAGACTTAACTGGCAATCGGTTTAATGGAAATGCGTGGGATTTCAATTTTATTTATTTATTATTATAAAAAGGATAATATTTTAAGCATAATAATTCAAATTTTGCATAATTAAGTCTAATTTAATAATAGATAGTAAATTGTAAGAGTAATATTATATATACAAAAATTACTGATGAAATATTAGATAAATTATTATTATTTTTTAATCCACATCAGGTATATATCACATTTATTTTTAGAAAATTTATAAATTAATGAGCATATTGAAAAATTGTGTGTCAAAAAAACCCATATAAACTCGATGATAATAGTTTAAATTCCTTAATGTGTGACTTACAAGCATAAAATAACTTTAATATATATATATGAAGATATTAAAGTTTAGTATTAAAATTTTAATTTAAGAAAATTTATAAATTCTCTAAGGAAAATTATTTTTGACCACAAAAATGTTTATAATGCTGCCAAATAACTTTTAAAATTTATAAAATAAATATTTCCTTTTTGCGAAACATTAATTTTGATTTTGTTTAAGAAGAAAAAAAGAGATAAAGTCACCGTCTCTTCATTTAAAAGTGTTTTGTTCAATTTTTACTTTGTGTACGAAAATTATTCTGACTATTAAGATTTGATTCATAAAAGATGAAATTTGTAATAACTCTGGAAATTCCAAAGGAAACACATTATAAATTTAGTGCGGAAGCAAAATAAATAATTAAAATTTACATTCCTTACACAATAACTGAAAGTACTAAATAGGGCTCGCGGAAATAGCAATTCTAAAAGAACAACTAATAACCAATGAAATAAATTAAAAGTAAACAAATTAAACGTCCTACTTGCAATCATCTTGTTGATCGGGGTCTGGATCCTGATTTTCTTGATCTAAAATAGTTAATGAAAGAATGAGCTACATTAATCTAGTAAAAATATCACGTTACTCACTGATACAGAAATGAAGATTGGTAGAAATCATAAAAACAACTAATGAACCTCTTAATTAAGTAAAATCGTTTATCATAAATAAAATCATTTACCGTTTACTTACCGTAGCGAGATTTACAAAAATAACCTATAAAGGTAATAACATAACACATATCATAATTTTATTTGCAATCGGTTGGAACAACAATTTTCTCTTTCATCAACTATTGGTATTCATGGGGGTCCATATGTATGTCCTTACAACGCGTGAACCATTTTCTTTAACATTTTCAATTAACGGGTCATCCCCATACCCCATCCGGTATGAGCACCAAATTACTAAATCTCGATACTCCGTCTGGTATGAGGGTGAAACGGACCGTCCCCGCACCCGTCCAGTATGAGCGCTAAATTACCAAATCTTGATGCCCCGTCCGGTATGAAGCAACGTTCACGGTAAGGTTCTTTATGTACCCGGCTCGTCCACCATCTCCTAGAATATCTAGTAAGCCTGCTGTTTCATCCATTCACGTAATTAAATAATTTTTTGTTGACCTTTAATTTTCAGTTTTTCAATTAATTGTAAATCACATAAAATAAATAATACATGTATCAAGGAAACACAATCGAATTATCATACCAATTCTAGTGTATTACATGCGTTTGAAACTGTAAAATCATCAATTAGTTAAACATTGCAAACAGTAATAAATAACCGATTTTGGCTCCATTAGTAACCTTTAATTATCAATATTTTTAAATCACGTAAAATATCATATTACTTACAATTAGACTTCAATTCCATAACAGGGAATAAAGTGAGAGATTCTTACTAAAATTGATGTTCAAAATGCTAAACTTATTGACTGCACCTACTGTCGGTTCTCAAGTTCCCTAAATTTTTCTTTGGGGATTAAAATACACTTTAAGTACCTAGAAATATTTCAAAAAATCCAAAATCAGTGTTAGAAACCATTTTTGGCCAATTTCAGAATTTTGGCACGACAACTTCGTCGTGCTCCGGCGACGGCACCGCCGCCCGCGGTAGTGGTTTACCTCAGGTCGGCTGTTCTCGGCCATTTTTGTATCAATCTCTGAGAGAAAATATGTTAAGGGGTCTCAACTGGCCGAAAAAAATCAAAAAAATTGAAACTCACCAGCGGCGAGGTTCTCCGGTGCGGCGAGTCCGCTGGCTCACCTTTGCAGTTGGGTATTTTGCTTCGGTCAACTTGTAGAGAAGGAAACTGTGATTACAATAGTGGAAGAATTATGCAAAACGGGAATCAGGAAGGGCCTCATCGGATGCATTTTTTGTATTTTCCTGTAGCGACGGCTTCGGCCTTTGGTCGCGGTTTTTTGCCAATTCGTCGATCCTTTTGCTCTGATTTGACCATGAGGGTGTTTAAAATAAAATTTTGAATAAAGCTGAAATTTTTTACCTTTTTTAGCAGTTGGAAGTAGCTCCGGTGCGGCAGCGGCGCCGACGGTCGGCTTTCTTCCCGGTGGTTGGGTCTTCTTCTTCGACCGGGGGGTCTGACAGCTAGGGTTAGGGTTTGATGTGAAGAGGGTCATTTATATCCGTCTCTTTTTAATCTGAATCGTCCATCACGTTTGATCTGGACCGTCCGATCGTGATTAATAGAGAGTGAATTTGGACCGTTCATCGCAATTTAATCTAAACTGTCCATTGCATTTAAATAAAAAATAGATCTAAACCGTTCATCGCGTTTAAATCTGACCATCTGATTGTGTATGGGAGGGAATGGATCCGGACCGTCCATACGCGAGGGAACGAATTTGGACCGTTCATGCGTGCGGGAACGAATTTGGACCGTCCGATCGCGGGCATGCGGATTGTCCGCGTGGCCTCCTGCGTGGCTCCGTGTTAGCGTCCCTTGCCACACGGTGTGCTTCGATTTGTTGGGTTTGCTGACTATGGGTCCTACGTGGTACAATTTTCTTAAATTGTATTTCGATCCCCAGTTTCTAAATTTTCTTTCAAAAATACCATCAAAACCCAAAATTTTACTATTTTTTCCAAAATTATTTTTAATTTCATTATCCATTTAATTTTCTCTATTTTTACATTAAATCATAATTAAAAAAATAAAATTTAGATTATATATATTAATTTGAATATTAAAAATTAAATTCTGGGTATTACAACTCTCCCTCCCCTTAAATGAGATTTGGTCCCTCAAATTTATTTTTCTCTCACTCAATCAAACAGTCGGGGATATTGGGCTCTGAAGTCTGATTCTACCTTCCATGTGGCCTCTTCTGGTATATGATTTTGCTATAGAACCTTAACAAAAGAAATTTTTTGGTTGCAGAGTATTCTACTCTTTCGGTCTACAATACCGACCAGTACTTCCTTGTAGGATAGATCCTCTTGGAGAAAAAGGGGCTCGTGGACCAGGACGTGAGAGGGGTCTGGGTTATACGTGCGTAGCATGGACACATGAAATATATTATGGACCATGGATAGTTTTAGAGGCAGTGCCAGTCTGTACACAACGATGCTAATTTTGTCTAAGATTTCAAATTGCCTAATGAACTGGGGATTTAGTTTCCCCCTCTTGCCAAATCTACTGATTCTTTTGAAAGCAGTGACTTTAAGGAACATCCGATCACATTTCTTAAATTCTAAATCCATCATCCGGGTATCCGCATAGCTCTTCTGTATGCTCTAAGTTGTCTGAATGTTCTTCCTGATCTTAATTATTTTAGCTGTAGTTTCCTCTATAAGATATGGACTAAATAATTTTTTTATCACCCACTTCTTTTCAACAGATCAACGATCTGCATGGACAGTCATACAACGTCTCATACGGAGCCATGCCAATACTTGCTTGGTAGCTGTTATTGTAGGTGAAATCTTTTAGGGGTAAATAATCATCCTAATGGCCTCCAAAGTAAAAAACACATGATTGGAGCATATCCTCCAGTGTACGGATTATCCTCTCTGATTGTCCATCGGTCTAAGGGTAGAATGCAGTATTAAGGGATAGTTTCGTCCCCATGGCTTGCTGAAAATTAGATTAGAACCGAGAAGTGAACCTGGGGTCCTTGTCGGATACTACTATCACTAGCACCCTATGTAATGTGACTATCTCCTGAATATACATTCTTACTAACTTGTTCAAGGGATCGATCATCCTGAAGGGTAAGAAGTGGGAAGACTTGGTAAATCGGTCAACAATTACCTAGATGTCATAATGTTCTGAACGTGCCCTAGGCAATCCTATCACGAAATTCAATGTGATATGTTCCTACTTTCACTCTGAAATTGGTAATGGCTAAAGTAGCCCGCCTAGATGTTGATGTT